CACTGAGACTCAAGGTGGATTACTCAAGGTCGGTGCATAGGAGCTTTCCTGACCATCTCAGCTAGGCTACACTCCAAGCAGTTCCACATTGTCATTTTTGTCACTCGCTTGTCCCTATTGCTTTGGGTCCCTTTTCCACATGTGTTTTGCTCCCTCTGGGACTATTAGAGAGATCAAAAAACCTGGCGGGGGGGACCCTGAAGCAACAGAGACAAACGAGTGACAAAAATGACAATGCGGAAGAGCCAAAAAACAACACTTGCCTATTTGAAGGGAAGATATTCCTCCCCAATATCTGGAGGGTAAAACTGAGGCTGTTTTTTAATTTTAAAATATTATTTTAATTAATTTCTGTGCTGCCTTTCTGTCTCAGGCACCCGTCCCACCCATTTTAAATGTATCTGTGAGAATGTTCTATCACACCCAATGGGATTTATGGACAAACGTTCTTCCCAGACAATGTTTATAGGTCTGAGCTGTTTGAGCATTTTCACAGTTGGTTCTAATAATGTTTTTTTTTACTTTGGGGGTGTTTCACTTGTGTTATGCAAGACAGAAAGCAGAAGAGAGCCATTTTACATTCAGGTACCCTGCTAATACTTGGTAGAAAAGGGAGGGAAAATGAACAGGGGGACTATACGTTTTATATTCAAACAAAGCAAGCTGATTTAAGCCATGCATGTGAAACACTATAAGGCAGAGTAAATGTTGCCTGTTTAAAAATAGACATCTAAACAAAAGTCATTCAGTGGGCCTGGTTTTGATTCTGCCGCTTTCAACCCCTGAGCAGAGTAGCTTTATAGAAAATCCCTTGCTGATATTTTTGGCAGAAACATGACAGTGTTTCATCCCCGAAAGCAAAACCAAACCAAATTTTAAAAAAGAAAGAAAAGAAAAGGAACAGCACCCACACAAGAAAACAAGTTTCAAGAATTGTCTTTTGGAATATTTTAAAGAAATGACTTGACAGAGAAGAAGGATGTGACCATTGACGTTTCCTCAGACTTAAGGAAGGAAGAAGAATACAAGACTAATATTTGGAAAGGTTTCCTCATTTCCATTCCTTACTCTGCCAGTATTGGTGGGATAGCAACACTGACCGGAACGGCACCAAATCTCCTTCTTTTGGGGCAGCTAAAGAGGTATGGGGGATGGGATTGATGTACTGGCACCACCAATAGCATGAGTTGTCAAAGTGTGACTCAGGAGCTGCACACGGCTCTTAATTGCTAAATATGTTGTGCCTGGGCGGTGTGGACAAAGAAGACTTTTGTAGTTAATATGTTGTAGCAATTTGACAGAGAATTTGATTTTGGGCTGTTTTGCATTCCTTTTGAGAGCGGAGGAAGTGACAATGACAGCCTCAGGGTGACCTGTGGATGGGGGTGGGTGGGGATAGGGTAGTTCCCAAAGGTCTACTGGAAGGAAGGTGGAACGGTGGTAGGTAGAGGTGAAAGTACTGCTTTAGAATGGTTTTTGGTGGAGTGGCTATAAGGTTCTTCTATGTGGTTCAAGGCCAGGCCAACAATTCTCTCTGGCAGTTTGTAGGTTCCGCACACAATGGAGCACATGAATGAGTCTTGGGCTCTTGTGCATTCTTTAAATAGCTGTAGCACATCATGTGTGATCCAGAATGCACATGTATATGTGTATGAACGTGAATCAGAATGTGATCCAGAGTGCACACATGTGTATGAATGTGATCTATCTATCCTTTTTTTTTTTTGTTTTATTT